CCTTTAAAAAAAGATCAACAGAAGACCAGAAAGACAGTACAAGAGTTAAGGTGCTTGCCGTGCATGTAGCCAACACCAGTCCAATCCTGAAAACCTTATATGGTCACCCTAGCCTCACCAGGCATGACCCTGAAGCACACACAATGCTAGGATTAAGCCCTAAGCACCATCGGGAGTGGCCTGGAACCCAAAAATAAACTGTAGAGATTTCTCAAAAGGTAAGTCATGAAAGAGATATTCACAAGGAGGCCCAGTGCTAACGAATTGGAAAGTGATTTATAAAAAGCACTTTACAACTGCTGTCCATCCATACTTCATCTCCACTACTATTATGAGGGAATCATGAAAAAATAAAGGAAATTGAGCTCATGGAAACAGAAAAAGCTCCTTGCTCTGCTATTGAGGTTTTTAAATTACAAGGGCTTGAAGGGCAGAGAAAAACATTCCCTTGTATTATGCAGAACAACTGAAAAACTGTCGTTTTCAAATGTCAATGGACATATGCTGATTAATATCAGTGTCCCTATTTAATATTAGTGTCCCTATTTGTTTAGACATCAGTCTGCTCTACCAGACTGCAAAAACTTTGAGCAAATAGGCTACATCTCCTTTCAACTTTAAATTACCAATATAGTGATAGTACAGCGGATAGGACATTAGTACCCCACACGGTCCCCCAAGCCAGTCAGGATAATTCCTGAGTGCAAAGTCAGAAGTTACCCCTGAGTAGTGGCCCAAAAACCAAATAAATCTTAAAACATTAATTACCAATGCAGGCTAGAACACAGGCCAGCGCTTTTCAGTTTATATTGTTATCCATTTCTCCCATACTATGCCCACACTGTGATTCTAGGTACTAGGGCTACAGAAGTGAACAATAAAGACATACAGCCTCCCTGCTCTCAGGTAACTCACATTCTAATTGGTTAGAAAATAAAAAGAGTGGGGGCCGGAGCAATAGCACAGCAACTAGGATTTGCCTTGCACACAGCTGACCCGGGTTTGATCCCTGGCATTCCATGTGGTCCCCTAAACACCATCAAAAATAATTCCTGAGTGCAGAGCGAGGAGAAACCCCTGAGCATGGACATCGCAGGGTATGACCCAAAAAGAAAAAAAAAAAGGCGATGAATTAATCAAATGTTTCCTGATTTTCACTAGTGTTCTGGGGGCTGAAGGAGGGAAATTGGGAAAGATATTAGCAAATAGTTGAAGTGTCCTTAGAAGTGGGAAGTGTGAGTAGACAGATGATACATTTAAGAAAAGTATCCAAAGGCTTGCTTTTCAAGCCTGTGCTCTCCCTTGAACGAGTATCTCACTCTCTTGTCTTTATGTTGTTTTGCTATTTCCACTCTGGAGAAACCTGTGTTCTCGCTGAATAATACTCCTTCCTCTCCCCTCATATCCTTCTAAATTAGTTTCAATAAAAACGTCCTTGCTTGGGGCTGGAGCGATAGCACAGCGGGTAGCATGTTTGCCTTGCACGCAGCAGACCCGGGTTCGATTCCCAGCATCCCATATGGTCCCCCGAGTACCACCAGGAGTTAATTCCTGAGTGCATGAGCCAGGAATAACCCCTGTGCATCACCGGGTGTGACCAAAAAGCAAAAAAAAAAAAAAAATCCTTGCTTCATAAAAAAAGGAAGAAAGGAAGAAAGGCGGGAGGGAGGGAGGAAAGGAAGGAAGGAGGGTAGACAGGGAATAGAGGGAAAGAGGAAGCAAGGCAGGGAGGGAGGGAGGGAAAGAAAGGCAAGCACCCAACGCAGTGCTGGAGAAACAGTATAATGCGTAGGGTACTTGCCTTATACTTGGTCCAACCAAAGTTGATCCCTGGCACCACAGTCACCTGAGTGATCCTTGAGCACAGAGCTAGGAGTAAGCCTTGAGAACAGCCCCCCCCCCCAAAAAAAAATAAAGAACTCAACTGGCTGAGTGACTGTATTCCATCACCAGCATCACATGGTTCTCTGACCATAGAGTGGGAGTAGCCCTGAGAACTGCCAGGTGTGGTGAGAGAAAAGAGATTGATGTTGCAAATGTTTAAATCAGCTGTGATGATGATGACTGCCTAACTACTCTGCAAATATACTTTTAAAAATCACTAAAGACACAAAAGAATCTCCGAACCGAGCAGCTCGCTGCAGAGATGCCTCCCGACCTTGTGCCAGGCCGATTTCACCAGGGTGCCTCAGATGGGAGCAGGCATTGTGGCAGTACCTGCCCCCTAGGGATCCTGGCAGCTGCCAACTTCCAGAACCCAATGAAAAGCCCAGGTATGCGGGAGCAGTGACTGTAAATTCCAGGTCTCAAGGAATAGGGAATGGGGAGCAGCTCGCTGGAGGGATTTCTCCAGACCCTGATTATCTAAAAGTTTAGAATTTTAGGAGTGTATGGCCGCTCTCATGGCCACGCAACATCTTAAACTATTCATAACAAGCAATACAAAATAAATTATCTAGCATCTGCCTGTTCAGCAGGTTTGAGTGGTAGCAAGTAAGTTCAAAATAATGGTGGGACTGGTGTTGAAATATTGAATGCAATCCATTATTGTGAACTTAATAAAAATAAATAATAAATAAAGGCCCTCCCGTTGATCATCGATTTGCTCGAGCGGGCCCAGTAATGTCTCCATTGGAGACTTTGTTGTTACTGTGTTTGGCATATCAAATGCGTCACGGGGAGCTTGCCGGGCTCTGCCGTGCGGGCGAGATACTGTTGGTAGCTTGCCGGGCTCTCCTAGAGGGGCGGAGGAATCGAACTCGGGTCGGCCATGTTGGCTGCGTGCAAGGCAAACGCCCTACCACTGTGTTATCGCTCCAGCAATAAAAATAAATTTTTTTTTAAAATGCGCTAAAGGCTAGAAAGACAATACAACAGATAAGAAAATCTGCCTTGCCTACATCTGACCAAGGATCTATCACCAGCAACACATATGATTGATCCCCCGAGTGTAGAACCAGGAATGATCTCTAAGCACAGAGCCAAAAGTAAGCTCTGATCACAGCTGGGTGTGGGAACCCCTCACTGCCCCCCTATCCAAAAAGAAAGAAAAAGAAAAGAATGCGAGAGAGAGATAGAGATAGAGAGAGAATATAAAAGCAACCTAAAATAAACCATGGGAGTGTTATGGGTGAGTTCCCCAAGGCAACAGAGTTCTCAGGCCTGTCTCAGAGCAGTTAGGAAAATCACAGTGAAAAAAAAATTATCTCAGGGAAGAGAAGAGGTGGAGAGGAAGAGGGTAGAGGAAAGGAGAATTAAAAAAAAAAAGAGTGGAGGGCGGGGGAAGGAGAGGGAAGGAAAGACGTCACTGATCTGCTGATCCCCAAGTCACATCTAAAATATTGCTAAAATTACTCACTGGTCTCATGACAGCACCTCTATGGCTGTGGTCCCCCAGCACCCCACTAGATGTCGGCATCAGGTTCACACTGCACATCCCTGGGCTCAAGGCTTTCATCACTCCCCCTCTTTCACACACTCCCGTGTGTCTTTTTCCATCTATGGACCACTGCTGCCCAGGCCTGTCTCATCAACCCTGCTGTCTCTTCAGCATCTATCAACCACAAGTGGATGAGCACAAGAAACACGGGAAGGACGTATGGGATGGAGCTTCAGCATCAGGAGGACAGATGGGGACGAACCGAACACACAGGCAAAGCTTCATGTGGGTTCTAGGAGGAAGGCTTTTCTGTCCTGCTGTGAAGAAGTCCAAGGCTGGAAACCAAGGTATCAAATCTCAGGTCTGCCGTCAAATTTGAAAAACATTTCGATGGCCAAGCCACAATTCTCCTTTTAAGCCTCCCTTTATGAAACCCTAAGAGGGTAGATGAGAATTCATCTATGCTTTACTTTTCTAAAACCAAGAGTTCAAGTGAAATCACCAGAATCTTGAGTAGGGAGATCTGTGAGCAGCTAGCATCAAATTCAAAAACCACAAATACCGAAAAAAAAAAAAAACAACAGCAGCGTAGCAGATGAGAATAAAGTGATTAAAGAGATGAAAGGTTCAGATCCTTGCTAAGCATACTAAATAATTCTTAATGACTATTTCCTCATCTGCAAGGAAGGAATAATATGAGAACCTACCCCTTAAAGAGTTGTTGTGAGAAATTAGGTAGACTACCTAAAACTCTAAAGGTAAAGGTAAAGGTAAAGGCCCTCCCGTTGATCGTCGATTTGCTCGAGCGGGCCCAGTAACGTCTCCATTGGAGACTTTGTTGTTACTGTGTCTGGCATATCGAATACTCTCGGTAGCTTGCCGGGCTCTCCGAGAGGGGCGGAGGAATCGAACTCGGGTCGGCCATGTTGGCCACTTGTAAGGCAGACGCCCTACCCGCTGTGCTATCGCTCCAACCCTAAAACTCTAATACAAGCAAAAAATGACAGCTACTCTGTTAGAAAAGACGAAGTCATGAAATTTACATACAAGTGGTACTACGTGGAAAGTATCATGTTAAGTGAAATGACTCAGAAAGAAAGGGATAGACATAGAAAGATTGCATTCATCTGGGGAACATAAAGTAACGAAATAGGAAACTAACACCCAAGAATGGCCGAGATTAGTGCCAGGAATTTTACTCCATGACTTGGAGGCCAACCACACATACTAGGGGAAAAGGGAGCTCAGATAAAGAGGGGAACACCAAATAAAGGTGTTGGGAGGATCCTCCCAGGATGGGAGAAGCATGCTGAAAGTGGACTATAGACCAAACATGATTGTCACCCATTGCCTCTTTTGCAAACCACAACACCCAAAATGAGAAAGAGAACAGAGGGGAATGCCCTGCCACGGAGGCAAGGTGGGATGGGGGGGGAAGGGGGGTGGGAGGGATACTGGGAGCCATGGTGGTGGGAAATGGGCACTGGTGGAGGGATGGGTATTTGATCATTGTATAATTGAAACCCAAGCACAAAAATGTGTAAGTCTGCAACTGTACCTCATGATGTCTCACTATTAAAAATTTTTTTAATAAAAAAATGACAGCTACTACTACTGTTACCAAGTAGGCTGCTTATTGTGTTCAGGTTGTACACTAAATTCTTCACCAGGTTCACAATCATCTGTGCAGCACCCTACAAATCAACACTCCAGAGTTGAGGCCCAGAAATCTGTTTATGTGCTAAAATCCCCAGAGGATCTGAGAACGACTTGGATTTGGCACATAATTTCCCTATAGCATACCACATCGTATCTAACACACCTGACTTACTACAGCTTCGTTGTTGATCTGTTCACCCAAAAGTCTCAATAAGGATAGGTTTGGTTTTGTTTCGTTTGAGCAACTCCTGGTTGTACTCAGAGCTTACTCGTGGTTCTGCACCCAGGGATCCCTCCTGTGGGCTCAGGGGACCATATGGGATGCTGGGGATCTAACCTGGGCAGGCGACATCTCAAAAAGACAACATCTAAGACCTTATTTCACTCATCTTTTTCCCTTTCTTCATTTCTCTCTTTTTTCTTTCTGCCCTGCCAACCTCCTATTTTTTTTTTTTTAGCAGCACCAGGAATCAAACCCAGATCCTATGGTCTGAACCACCTACCTCGACATTCACTCCTGTTACAGAAGGCTCCCTCATATTTGCCACCTCTCAGAATTTTGTTATTTTATTCCCCCCGCCTGGACTGCTAAACTACTAGATTTCATTGTATTTCTAAAAGTTAAAACCCTACCGTATAATGGAAAAGCACACACACCACCTACCACCCCTCCCCCAGCTCTCTCTCACAGCCCTCTGCAATCAAAGTGCCTGAATTCTTGCTTGATCATTTACTAGCTTAATTCCCCAGGAATGTTATTTAACCCATCTGTGCCTCATTTGCCTCCTAGAAATCTGCTGATAATTAAAGTGACCACCTGAAGGATTATGGTCAAAATGAATGAGCCGTAGTGCCTGGGATGTTGCTCAGTGGTACAGCCCTTTCCTTGCATGAGTAAAAGCCTTGGGTTCAAGTCCTAGCACCACCGAAAAATAAATATTAACAAGAAAACAAAAAAGGGTTAGGCACTTATTAAATCTCAGCTATTATGGTGACAATTTCACTACACCTTGGGAGGATCAGATCAAATGTTTCCTCTTCCATCAAGCATTCCCTGTTATGGCTGTTCATTTGTTTGCATTTAAGTTCTATTTTACTTGGTTGGAAAGTACTCAATCTACTAATTTTTGTCTATGGGTGTTGAGTCGCTAGTCCTCAGGCACAGGGCCAGAAATGAAGGTTCTAGCAAAAGGGCACCTACACCTGGAAAAAATCATTACCTCCTTTAAAGCACTTTTTTTTTCCTTTTTGCTTTTTGGATCACACCCGGCGATTCACAGGGGTTACTCCTGGCTCTGCACTCAGGAATCACTCCTGGCAGCTCTGGGGACCATATGGGATGCTGGGGATCGAACCTAGGTCCACCGTGTGCAAGGCAAATGCCCTACTCGCTGTATTATAGCTCCAGCCCCCTTTAAAGTACTTTTAATCCTGAACCTCAGAACATTTTATATTTTCTACATAATGCGTTTTTCTTTACTAGATTACAGGGTCCTGACAGCAAAATTCACCTATTATGTCTCTTTATTGCCTACTGCTCCTAATATGATGCCTTAATTACAGTGTCCGTCTACCCCAACATTTGTGACCAATGGATATTTGGTGAAGTATAGTTACAGCACACATCAACTGTTCTTACCACAACATCTTTCAAGATCTTAGAGGGGCATGGTATGGAACGAAATTCAAAATGTTCATCCTCTGATTTCTTCTTTGACCTTCGTTCCTGGATTCTTTTCTCAATTTCTAAATCAAAGCCAATAGGCTGAGTGGGTGGTTTCGCCGGTGGTTTTTTAGGCAAGATGGGCCCCCTTTCAAGAATCCTGGGATCAAGTTCCCGTGCTTTGAATTTATATCTGTGAGTTCATAGAACAACAACAAAAAATTTTTTTTACTGAAAACCAATCAACAAAGTAGGTCGAAAACAAAAGTATAATAATAATTGGTTACTGATCATAAAATTCCCAAAACAAAATTTCAGCTCTTACCATAGCTCTTAACTTATCTCTGTTTCCAGAGCAAAGAATAAACGATAGTTCTTACATTTCCATCACTTTAAAGAACAATTCTCTTCACAAAGGAAGTTCCCTTTTCAAAAGGACAGAAAAAGGAATAGAAGGGCATCAAAGAGATATCCCAGTGCTAATCACAACTAGACTAGAAAGGACACAAGGCCAGTAGGGGGTCTTGAGCGCTCTGGTATTGGTGAAGATGCATTAACTGTGAACACCAAAATCATAAATGTGAATACAACTGTAACCATGTTACCTAAACTATTAAAAATATTTTAAACAAAACAAGGACAGAGAGCTTAATGGGATAGGTGTATGCTTTGCCAACAGGAGACCTGGATGTGATACCCGGCACTGCTGGGAATAGCCCCTGAACCCTGCTGTATGTGGCCTAAAAACAACCAAACCAACCAAACACAAACTACTTCCTATAAATGGGTGGAATCTTCCTAAACAAACTTCAGAAGACACCCCTTTAATAGAATCATAAATTCTTCCACTTCTGCATTAGTTTTTCATCAGCTGACACAGTAGGTCATGACACGGCTTCGAGTCTATAGCTATTCAGTGCCATAAATCCCCAAGGCGAGAACAGCAACTTCCTCTTACAAAACTGAAAAGAAAATAGATTCTTCCTCAAATAATAATAGTGGGGACTTACTGTTGTTGTTTCTCAAGTTCCTCAGCCTCTTGATCTGCTGTGCTTTTATAGGTCACAGGCCTTGCATGATGTTTGGTTTGCAGGACAGGGGTCTGTAGGTTTCTGAAGAGCTTGGCCACAGCACGTTTAGAAGGCCACAGAACTACAAACCAAGACTACAGATATTCACTTTGTTCACAGGTAAATTATTTTCCTGACCAACTGTAATTATCTTGATATTTATGCTTTGGTGTGTGGTGTTTTCTAAATATGTATATATATATATATATATAATTTTTTTTTCTTTTTGGGATCACACCCAGCAATGCACAGGGGTTCCTCCTGGCTCTGCGCTCAGGAATTACCCCTGGCAATGCTCAGGGGACCATATGGGATGCTGGAAATTGAACCCGGGTTGGCTGCGTGCAAGGCAAACGCCCTACCCGCTGTGCTATTGCTCCAGCCCCTGTATTTGACTTTTTTGAGAGATTTGCTTGATAATTTGAAAGAATGCTTTTAGGGAATTCCTAACATTGAGAATTAGTGCTGAGTCTTTAGAAAGTTTTTATTCATAATCTCTGTGTATTTGTTTATTGATGGTTTTGGAGTCATATCCCACATCACTAAAGGATTGCTCCCAACTTGATGCTCAGTGCCTATTCACTGTCGGGTAGGGGATCCAATCTGGCCTCCTGCATGTAAACCATGTGCTCCAGCATTTGAGTGATCTCTCTCGCTAACCCCGAGAAGATGTTTTGAAGCTGGAATAAGCAAGTCTTATTTTTCAAAAAAGTTGGCATTTCCAATAGAAGGAAAATAGGGGCTATGATAAAGAGTTTGTCAGATACAAATAGGCTTTGCTTTCAGGGGGTCACTGTCACTGTCCTCCCGTTGTTTATGGATTTGCTCAAGTGGGCCCAGTAATGTCTCCATTTTGAGATTTCTTATTACTGTGTTTGGCATATCGAATACGTCACAGGTAGCTGGCTAGGCTTTGCCGTGTAGACGAGACACTCTCGGTAGCTTGCCGGGCTCTCTGAGAGGGGCAGAGGAATCGAACTCGGGTCGACCATATTGGTCACTTGAAAGGAAATGCCCTACCCGCTGTGCTATCGCTCCAGCCCTGTCAGGCGGGGTAGAGCTTATTAAAGTCTACCTTCATCACACTCCTTAATGCCTGGTTGGGAAAAGGGGGTGGAATGCTTGCTTCTCAGGCTGGCAGCTGATTGGAGTATGGTAGGCCAGCCATTCTGTGGTTTGGCATCTCTGCACTGATTCGTGAGGTAGCACGTATAGGGAGATGGATTTTTGTGAACAAAGTGAATATCTGTAGTCTTGGTTTGTAGTTTTGTGGCCTTCTAAACGTGCTGTGACCACGTTTCTTCAGAAACCCACAGACCCCTCTCTTGCAAACCAAACATCATGCAAGGCCTGTGATCTACAAAAGCACAGCAGATCAAGAGGCTGAGGAACTTGAGAAACTACAACAGTAAGTCCCCACGGTTATTATTTGAGGAAGAACCTATTTACTTGAATTCTTCATTCTTTTTCTGCATCTCCATCACCTCCTGCTGCATCTTCATTCTCTTCTCCGACTTTTGCTCCTCAGTACTTTTTAGAATTTTCTGCCTGAAGGGCAAAAGAATACAGGAGATAGGAGAAAAGAAAAGGAGTCAATGATTCAAAATAATCTAATGGCATTTTATAGACTGTTTTAGTCTAGGTAATAGGTAAAGGTAAAGGCCCTCCCGTTGTTTGTCGATTTGCTTGAGCGGGCCCAGTAACGTCTCCATTGGAGACTTTGTTGTTACTGTGTTTGGCATATCGAATATGTCACGGGGAGCTTGCCAGGCTCTGCCATGCGGGCGAGATACTCTTGGTAGCTTGCCAGGCTCTCCGAGAGGGGCGGAGGAATCGAACTCGGGTCGGCCATGTTGGCTGCGTGCAAGGCAAACGCCCTACCGCTGTGCTATAAACAATTAGAACAACAACAACAAAAAGGTACTTACTGGAGCAATAGTACAGTGGCTAGGGCACTTGCCTTGCATGCAGCTGCCCCAGGTTGGATCCCCCACACCCTACATGGTCCTCCACACGGTTCTCCACACTCTATATGGTTCCTGAGCCCCACCAATCGTGATGCCTGAGCATGGAGCCAGGAGTAAACCCTGAGCACCACTGAATCTGGCCCCCAAACAAAACAAACAAACAAAAACCTATTTACTCAGAATTAGACCAGAAGGGAGCTTGTCATAATTAAAATGTTTAGGTATTAGGAGATTTCACAGATTTCTTTCCCTCTTATTCTTTACATTTGCTATGAAAGTAAATTTTTCTCAAGATTTTAAGAGGAGGACCTACTAAGAAAGATTTCACCTTTTAAGTATCATGCTAAGCGAAATGAGGCAGAAAGAGAGGGATAGACATAGAAAGATCGCATTCATCTGGGGAACATAAAGTAACAAAGTAGGAGACTTACACCCAAGAATATCCGAGATAAGTACCAGGAGGTTTACTCTATGGCTTGGAGGCCAGCTGCACATGCTAGGGGAAAAGGCAGCTCAGACAGAGAAGGAAGCACCAAATAAAGGGTGTTGGGAGGATCCTCCCAGGATGGGAGATGCATGTGAAAAGTAGACTATAGACCAAACATGATTAGCACTGAATGCCTCTTTTGCAAACCACAGCACCCAAAAGGAGAAAGAAAACAAAAAGGAATGCACACAAGGCAGGGTGTGATGGGGGGAAGGGGGTGGGAGGAATACTGGGATCAGTGGTGGTGGAGAATGGGCACTGGTGGAGGGATGGATACTCAATCATTGTATAACTGAAACCCAAGCACAAAAATTTGTAAGTCTACAACTGTACCTCATGGTGTTTCACTAATAAAAATTTTTTAAAATAAACAAATAAAAAAGAAATATTTCACCTTTTGAGGGTTACAACTTTGGCAAATTCCATATGCACCATGGTGACTTCAGGTGTACTATTTGCAATTTTACTCTACTGGTTCTCATTTAAATTCAGCCGGGGGAAATAAAGAAATTTAGGAGAGAAAACATACCTTCCTGGCACATTATGTCTGCCCTTAGCTTTTTCTGGAGCAGACTTGTTCTTTTCTTGTTGAGCACTGCATCCTTTCTCTTCCTCTGGCTTCTTTCTGCTACTAGAACTTGAGTTCAAAAGAACAAAAAAAAGTATTTTCTCCATTCTCCATTCTCTAAAGCACATTCTACACAAACCTCCTACCACGCATGGCACTCAAGTTTCCTCATTTCTAGCTTGCTTTTCAAGCCCATGTTCTCCCTTGAACACATATCTTGCTTGCTTGCTTCTTTGCTCATTTCCACTCTGGAGAAGTCTGTGTTCTCTCTCAAACATGTACTTCTCCCTTTCTCTAGCCTCACATTTTTCTAAATAAATTTTAATACAACTACTTTGTTTTACTAAGTAAGTAAAAGTCAAGGCCCTCCCGTTGTTCATCAATTTGCTCGAGCGGGCCCAGTAATGTCTCCATTGGAGACTTTGTTGTTACTGTGTTTGGCATATCGAATACATCACAGGGAGCTTGCCAGGCTCTGCCGTGCGGGAGAGATACTCTCGGTAGCTTGCCGGGCTCTCCGAGAGGGGCGGAGGAATCGAACTCGGGTCGGCCATGTTGGCTGCGTGCAAATAAAATAAAATTTTCTCATTTCTGGGCCAGAGAGGTAGTCCAGAAAATAGAGCATTTGCCTTGCACACGGCCATCCCATGTTCAATTCCCACCACCACATGCGGTCCCCATGAGCCCTCCAAGGAGTGATCCCTAATCACTGCCAAGAGTGACTTCTGAGCTCAGTGTCAGGAGTAAGTTCTGAGCATCACTGAGTGTGGCCTAACCCCTTTATCCCCTCCCACAAGAAAAAGACTCAGAGATACTGTTCTGGCAGTATTCAAAGACTGAACCAAGGGAAAAGACTTTTAGACTTCTGCGAAGCAAATAAATCACTATTCTCTAAACCTCTAGCTGAATAGGCTATTAAAGCAAAATACATTCCTAACTAATAAAACTCAAAACAAACATCATGTATTCTGTTTGCTATTAGACACTTATACTAATGGGTTAAACCTATGCCAGCTGACAAAAGCTGTAGCTACTTACACTCTCATTTTATTGGAGGGTGGAATTTCATGGATTACAGGAGTGGCACATCTCTTGGTTTTCTTTTTTTTTTTTTTTATGTAGGAGTACTGCTATTTATTCAGCCACTGATTAGGCTGATTGAATTGGGCATGAACTCCACTCCTGGCTTTCATTTTAACATGTTGCTTTTCTTTCTGCTCCAAATCCTTCTGAGCAGAGAGTCTAACAGATCTTCTATGATAGAGGAATTGACAAAATTTATCTGTAACTAACTGTCCCGGAAGAGAACAGCACAGTCTCCTGCCCCCGTGCCTGGCTGTCCTCACCAGGGCCCCTGGAGGAGGGCGGGTTGAGTTTCCCTCCCCACCCCGAGCAGAGCCCAGGCAGCCAAAGACCTCGAAACCAACCACAGCCATGCTGAGACCACTCTCCACATGTTCGGACAAGCCTCATGCATGAAGGAACCAGCAGAGGAACCCAGGCATGCGGGTCCCAGGGCTGAGATCTCCAAGCCTGCTCGAATCGGGACTGGGCCTCCTCCACCCAGATCCCCCATCTTCCAGTAGGTAGGTGCTACACCCACCAACTGCCCCCAGCGCCAGGTAATCCCATCAATGGCCAAGACCCAGAGACCATAAAACCCAATTCCTGGAAGCACGCAACCACATTTGCAGCCATGCAACATCTTATTATCTAGTTCTTATTCTGGAGCACCTGGCAGGCTACCGAAAGTATCCTGCCCACATGGCAGAGTCTGGCAAACTCCCCATGGTGTACTCAATATTCCAAAAACCAGTAACAATGATGGGACTCATTCTCCTGACCCTGAAAGGGCCTTGAATATGGCACTTTCTAAAATCTCAGGGCTAGGATGAAGGAGACGTTATTGGTGCCTGCTCGAGCAAATCGATGAACAATAGGATGACTGTGACCATGACCGTGATCTGTAACAAATATATCTACTACAAAAAGGAAAGTGTTCTGGGAAACATGAAACTATAATTAAATTACATATGTCAAAAACTCTAAAAATGGGTCGAAGATATGTGGCCCCGCAGAAAAAAATAAAAAATTAACCATTCTCAAAATTTTGCATTTGTTTATATATTTTAATATCAACTTAGTGCTTCAAAATAAAAAGCACTTAAAATATTGAATCTATAGATTAATTAAAGAGAATTTAATTAGTTACAATATTGGGTATCCCAATCCATAAACATGATGTAGTATCACCAATATTTTTGTTTGGGTTTTCTGTTTTGTTTCTGGGCCACACCTGGCTGTGCTCAGGGCTTACTCCTGGCTGTGCTCAGGGGTCATTCCTGGTGGTGCTCGGGGGAGTTTATGGGGTGCCAGGGATCAAACCTGGACTGGCTGTGTGCAAGCAAATGCCCTACACCCTGTACTATTGCTCCGGCCCCTGTATGTACGAGTCTTTTCCCTAGAACTATATAATGTGGGGCTGGAGTGATAGCACAGTGGGTAGGGCATTTGCCTTGCTCATGGCTGATGTGGGTTCGATTCCCAGCATCCCATAGGGTCCCCCAAGTACCGCTAGGAGTAATTCCTGAATGCAGGAGCCAGGAGTCACACCCTGTGCAACGTTGGGTGTGACCCAAAAGGGAAAAAAAGAGAATTATATAATGGACCGCTAGGGTGCTCTTTCTGTTTCAAAAAGTTTTGACACAGGGCTGAAAGATAGTACAGTGATACTGTACAATGGATAAGGTACTTGTCTTGTACCCCCTGACCAACCCCCTGAAGTCAGGAGTAATCCCTGAGCACAGATGGATGCACTCTAATCCCCCTTTCTCAAAATAAAAGGCATTAAGGGGGACCAGAGATGGTACAGGGGGTAAAGCACTCATTAGCCTTGCATACAACCAACCCTAGTTGTATTATGTCACACATCACCTAGGAAGTCACACATCATAGCCAGGGAAGATCCTTGAATGTAGAGCCAGGAGTTAGCAAGTACTGCCACATATGGGCCAACCAACCCCCACCCCAATAATAAACATGCCTAGGGGTTAGAGAGGGCTGGAGCGATAACACAGTGGTAGGTCGTTTGCCTTGTGCGCAGCCAGCCTGGCCAAGCCAGGTTCAATTACTCCGCCCCTCTCGGAGGACCTGGCAAACTACTGAGAGTATTTCGCCAGCACAGCAAAGCCTGGCAAGCTACCCGTGACGTATTCAATATGCCAAACACAGTAACAACAAGTCTCAAAAGTGGAGATGTTACTGGGCCCGCTCAAGCAAATAGACGAACAACAGGAGGACAGTGGACAGGGGTTAGAGAAAGTTCAATGAGCTGAGCACATGCTTTACAAGCAGGCAAATCTGATCCCCAGAACCCTAGGATCCCTAAGAGCTGCTGGGAGCAACTCCAGACCACACAGCCAGGTGGGGCCCAAAAGACAAAATAAGTATGTGAATAAAATATAATAAACTATCATTGAAGAGACTGAGACTACCAAGGGGTTAGCTAGGATGTGAAGCTACTTGAACTCTCATATAGCACTAGTGGGAGTAGAAAGTGGTAGTCACTTTGGAAAATACTCTGGCTGCTCCTTATGAAGACACACTGAACCAGATGGCCTAGTAATTCAATCGGGAGAAACTCTTGCCCTCACAAAGACCTATGTATTCATATCAGCTTTAACCATAATGGTTCCAAAATGGAAACAATCAAATATTGATCTACTGGAGAATGAATAATGAGATATAAAAGAACATTATAGGCAATTCCAATTTTTAAAACATACAACAGTTAAGATTGATCCATGAAGATCTGTTAAAGTAAATGTACAATTGCAAACATGTCAATGGTAGACAAAGCAAGGTTTTGAAATCGAATTGATGGGGTGAATCATAGCTCTGAAATAAAACTTACCTTTAATGAGCAGCTTAGTACCCCTTACATAAAAATTTCAGCTTATTACCTAAAACTCACGTTACAAAGATCAAATAAGAGAACACAGTCTTGTACAGAATCTTATACATAATAGTGCTCTGTCAAGTAACCATTCTTGAAGTATTATTCGTCTAACCTCCACATTCAAACCCTGAAAGTCTTACCTCTGAGGTTGGTTTGGAGTACTTCTTGTCTTAGTTCCCTTGACTTTTGGGAAAGAACGAGAATTTAATGAAATGGACTGTTCCACCAGATTTTCTTTTTCTGCCTCTTTGTACATATTGTTAACTGCAAAAGAACATATACTAGTCAGCATTAAAATGCCAAGTGAGGGGGCTAGAGTGGGTAGGCTGACCCGGGTTCCATCCCTGGCATCCCATATGGTCCCCCAAGCACCGCCAGGAGTGATTTCTGAGTGCAGAGCCAGGAGTAACCCCTTGGCATCGCTGTATGTGACCCCAAAAGCCATACATATGTCAAGCGAATGAATTATAAATAGAAAACACACACACACACACACACACACACACACACCCCTTAATACAGGATCCTAGGTTGAAAAATTATCCTCAGCAACAGAACTTAGTTGCAGAGAAATCTTAAGGAGAAGGCCAATTTATAAAAGCTTCTTTAGTTGAAGCAGAAATGAAACATCAAGATACCACCTTAGGAAAAAAGTATCCCATACACATCCTCATATCATATCCAAATATAAACAGATAAAATTCTGGAAGTTTCTACTTCCAGAAGATAAAAATAAAAAGAATAAGATAAAAAGATAAAAGAATAAAAAAATAATTCTAAGATAAAAAGAATCACCTAAGAATCAACCAATGTGATAAGCAATGAATCCCTTATCAGCAATACAGTATCACTAAAATCTGGGGCCAGAGCAACAGTACAGCAGACACGGCACTTGCCTGGCACGTGGCCGACCTAGTGTCGATTCCCAGCATCCCATATGGTCCCTCAAGCACTGCCAAGAGTGATTCCTGAGTGCAGAGCCAGAAGCGACCCCTGAGCACAACTAGGTGTGGCCTAAAAGCCAAATAATTACAACTATCATAATAATAGGCTTGCTCTCTCAGCAGGAATTCTCCCCTGAACATGAATATCACTTGCTTGTCTCTTTCTTCTTTTTTCTACTGTGGAGCCCATGTAGAAAGAGGGTTCTTGAGCATGTTTTCTCTCTTTCTGTAAGTCATGTCTAAGTAAATTTGTTCAATTAAAAGGTATCCTGTTTCACTAAATATTAATAAGAGGGGTCGAGTGATAGTACAGGGGGTAGGGCACTTGCCTTCCACACAGCTGACCTGAGTTTGATCCCCAGAACCCCACATGGTCCCCCAAAGCCTTGAGGAGTAATCCCTAAGTGCAGAGCCAGGAGTAAGCCCTGAACACAGCTGCGTATGGCCCCAAACCCAAAATAATAATGTCTTTTTCTTCTATCATTCTGTATGGATGATGAAATAAACTTGTCCCGAATAAGCAAGGCAAATCATCTTTATGTGGCCCAGGGGTTGGACGTGGAACTTAAGGAATCGAGGAATGCAAATGCATCAAACTAACCTGAAATCAAACAGTACTCGTATATCAAACTGCAAATAGTGCTGATATAACTACATTAGTGTGTATTGTGCCAAGAGTTCAGTTAAAAATAGTATGAAGACCAGAGAAATGGATCAAAGGACTGAACAGAACGTTTTGCAGGCTGGAGACCCAGCTTTCACTGGCACTACATAGTCCCCTGAACACTGCCAGGTGTGGCAAACAAAACAATAAGGGTTCGAGCCGGAAATGTGGCTCAACTTGAGCACAATACTAACACATGCAAAGCCCTGGCTTTCATCTCCTGCACTGCATGTCCTCAGCCCCTAGCACCACCAGGAGCTCCACAGAGGCTGGCCAAGAGATGAAGTACCACCCTCCAAATGTGTGGCTCTAATGGCTCCGGAACCTTGCTACAGGAGTTCCCACCACAATAGCAACAACAAAATAAAAACTGTTTATTAATAAAGGAGGCAACATTTGGGGGCTGGAGCGACAGTACAGCAGGTAGGACATGCTTGCCCTACAGAAGACCAACCCCAGGTCCAATTCCTGGCACCCCAAACCCTGCCAGGAGTGATTCCAGAGTGCAGAGCCAGGGGTAAGCCCTGAACACTGACGGGTATGCTCCCCTCCGCTCCCCCCCAAAATAAAACAAGACAAAAAAGATACACAACATTCGAGAAAAGGATATTGCAGTAGGAAAAAGGAGATATTTTATCACAAAGAATTCTGATATTACCAAAGTCATATATCTCTGACACTACATACGGTTCCCCAAACCCCCCCAAGAGTGTCAAGTTCAGAAGCAGGAGTAGTCCAGGGTATGGCCCAAGATATCCACAAAAAAAATAACCCCAAAAAATCCGAAAGAAAAATTGTTGGGCCAGAGATAGTACAGGAAGCTGACACTGATTTAATCCCCAGCATTGCATATGGTTCCCCAAAACTGCTAGAAGGGACCCTTGAGCATGAAGCCAGGAATATCCCCTGACCATTACCAGATATGGTCCAAACCCCACTACCACAAACACAAAAAGATAACAACAGACCTAAATACATGAGGGTGAAAAACAGAAATTCAAAGAAAGAGAAAATTCAACAATAATAGTTGGAGGCACATAATTTCATAGTTTTCATAAAATGAAAACTGTTTCACAACAATAAATCAAGGTGTATGGCATTTAGGTAATTTCCCCAGATCCTTCAAACTCCTAACACACTGTTCTATGATTTTCCCAGGGAGCATTTTAAAAAAGATGTTCTTTCTTACCTGTTCTCAAAGGAGTAACAATAGCTTTCTGGAAATTAGTCTTTCTCAAAGGAATTTTCTGAGGTAATCCTCTTGCCCAATTCTTCCCCAGAAATTTATTCTCCAAATTGGCCTTCTCATCTGTGAAAATGTAAGATTATTCTCATCTACACAGTCAATAAGGAAGCAAAATAAATCAGTAATGGACTTAAAAGACAGTGATAAGCCCCTTCTAAGTCATTTGGCAAACTTCAAGTGATCCAAAGTAAATAAAAACAAATGATATGTCAGAGACAGAAACTTAAAAAAAAAAACACAACTAATACACTAACAATACCGAACAATGTGTTACAGAAAAAAAGAAGTGCAGCAGACACAGAGAACCAAATCAAACAAAATTAGAAATTGAGCTCCCATTTGACCCAGAAATACCACTTCTGGGAATATATCCCAGAGATGCAAAAAAGGTATAGTAGAACTGACATCTGCACCTATATGTTCATTGCAGCATCGTTTACAATAGCCCAAATCTGGAAAAAAACAGAGTGCCTGAGAATAGATGACATCTACTCAGTGGAATACTATGCAGCTGTTAGGAAAGATGAAGTCATGAAATTTGCATATAGGTGGTTCAACATGGAAAGTATCATGTTAAGTGAAATGAGTCAGAAAGAGAGGGACAGACCTAGAAAGATTGCAATCATTTGTGGAATAGAAGGTAAGAGAATGGGAGACTAACATTCAATAGTAGTAGAGATAAGTACCAAGAGGATTACTCCACAGCCTAGAAGCCAGCCTCACATGCTGGAGGGGAAAGGCAGCTCAGATAGAGAAGGGACCACCAAGTAAAGAGTGCTAGGAGGGCCCACTCGGGATGGGAGTTGCGGGCTGAAAGTAGACTACAGACTGAACATGATAGACACTTAATACCTCTATTGCAATCTACAACACCGAGAGAGAGAGAGAGAGAGAGAGAGAGAGAGAGAGAGAGAGAGAGAGAGAGAGAGAGAGAGCGCGCGAGCGAGCGAGCAAAAGGGAATTCCCTGTCACGGAGGTGGGGTGGGGGGAGGGAGACTGGGATCAGTGGTGGTGGAGAATGGGCACTGGTGGAGGGATGGGTGCTTGATCATTGTATAATTGAAATGCAAGCACGGAAGTTTGTACCTCATGGTGTTTCACTAATAAAAAAATTAAATAAAAAATTGAAAAGTTAAAAAGTTGCAGGTTCTCCACTACAAATAGCGCCTAATCTTTATTTAAACACATTTAAGATTATCCAACCATAAATCGGCTTTAACCCCACGTGAGTACATCATTTTCATTTTATTATTTATTTATTTTTAAATTTTTATTAGTGAAACACCATGAGGTACAGTTGTAGACTTACAAATTTTTGTGTTTGGGGTTCAGTTATACAATGATCGAGTATCCATCCCTCCACCAGTGCCTATTCTACATCATTTACATTTAAAAAAAATTTTTGTTAGTGAAACACCATGAGGTACAGTCGTAGATTTACAATTTTTTGTGTTTGGGTTTCAAGTGTACAATGATCAAACACCCATCTCTCCACCAGTGCCCATTTCCCACCATCCGGGTCCCAGTATCCCTTCCCCCCTGCCTCCCCCCCCATCCCACCCTGCCTCTGTGGCAGGGTATTCCCTTTTGTTCTCGCTCTCATTTTGGGTGTTGTGCTTTTCAAAAGAGGCATTGAGTGGCAATCATGTTTGGTCTGTAGTCTACTTTCAGCATGCTTCTCCCATCCTGGGAGGATCCTCTCAACACCCTTTATTTGGTGCTCCCTTCTCTATCTGAGCTCCCTTTTCCCCTAGAATGTCTGGCTGGCCTCCAAGCCATGGAGCAAAAGTCCTGATACTAATCTCGGCCAATCTTGGGTGCTAGTCTCCAATTTTTTACTTTATGTTTCCCAGATGAATGCAATCTTTCTATGTCTATCCCTCTCTTTCTGACTCATTTCACTTAACATGGTACTTTCCATGTTGTACCACTTGTATGTAAATTTCATGACTTCCTCTTTTCTAACAGCTACATAGTACTCCACTGTGTAGATGTACCAAAGTTTCTTTAACCAGTCATCTGTCCTCGGGCACTCAGGTCTTTTCCAGATACATAGAGCTATTGTAAAGAGTGCTGCAACATCATTTTCATTTTAAAGAACATTGCCCACCAAGCTCTTACAAGAGACATAATAGTTGGACTTCTTAAGTTCTGGGAAATTTGAGATATGTAAGGCTGGAATGGAGCTAATCTCTCATGAGGAATTTTTACCTTAGATTTTGCTGTGCCCAAACATCAATGCAAAGAAGTCAAGGTTTTGTTTTCCCATACTTTTTTCCTTCTTCTTCCCATACTTAAATAGACATTTTTAGGAATACAGTGAGCCTCAGAAATAAATGTAATACTCTGACTGCAACTATGTTTTTTAAAAGTGATTATTTAGAAAAAAATTACAAGGTAATACATTAGAATTAAGGTCATTTTTAGAAAGTGGGCTTAATTTTAAATGCAATATTAGTTGGAAAAAAATTAGAAACTAACAGAACTTAGATAATTTTGAAAAAATGGAATTTTAAACAGATTTTTAATTCTTCAGATTATATTTGGTAGTGTTATTAGCTAATATCTTTCTTGTGAAAAAATTTGATAGCCATTCCTCAGCATTTTGTAGAACAGAAACAGATTCGGAGTGGTGATGTATCTCAGTGGTAGAGCACTTACCTTGCACCTGTAAGGCTCAGGGTTTGATCCCCAGCACCACGAATGTGAGAAAGAGAGAGTGGGCCAGTGAGAGAGAATAAACCAGTAGGGCTGTTGAATCACAGATGGTCATCTTATCCATTCTTCCAACTGCATTGCTTCCGTAAGACACTCCTTTCTCAGGGTCTGAGAAGCTATCCCCACTGGATACCATTAAGTCCATTTCCAGGCAAATGATACCTGCTATCACTGCATTATAAGTGACAAATGCAGCTTCTAATTAACTCATTTTTGGTCCCGATTATGAATTATCCTAACAAAGAAGACAGAATTTGAGGGGCTGGAGCAGAAACAGCGAGTAAGGTGCTTGCCTTGCAAACAGTTGACCTAAATTCAATCCTCACTATACATGCGTATATGTGTGTATATGGTCCCCTGAGACCTTAGGAGTGCTCCCTGAGCACAGAGCCAGCAGTAAGCCCTGAGTACCACCAGGTGTGGCCCAAAAACAAAACAAAATTTTAGAAAACTAAAACGAGGCCCCATACTGGGCCAATTTCACCAGGGTACCCCAGATCAGCAGGTGCAGTCTCCCTGCTTACTCCAGAAGGGATCTCGGTGACCAAGAGCTTCAACAGCAAGGTCCAGGTATGCGGGTTCCGGGACTGAATCTCCAGGCTGCATGGCGGCAGAGAACCTGGGCTGTCCCTCCCAGGGTCCCCGCCCACCCGGCAGACTGGCTGTCACGCCCATGATTTGCCTCCAGCACCATCTTAGTGCACCAACAGCCCTGGCCCAGAGACTCCCAAGTGAATCCCAAAATATGTATTAGTGCCAGAGATGTCTCTGAAACCCAGTCATTTACAATCTAGAAATTTACATTTACAATTGTGGCTGTGCGAACTCTTAGGATTTTAAAAACGAGCAACGGAGAATAAATTATCTAGCGTCTGCCCCTGGCAGGTAGGCTGGAATGGTGGTGGGAAATTTTGAGCAAAACATAATGTCCAAAATGAAGAAAGTATTGGGGAAATTGTCTGCCATAGAGGGAGGGTGAGGATTGGGAAGTGGGTGGTGGAAAATGAGCACTGGTGGAGAGAAGGGTGTCCCATCATTGTATGGTTGAATCTCAAACATGAAAGCTTTGTAACTCTGTTCACGGTGATCCAATTAAGAAAAAAGAAGTAAAAAAAAAATAAAAATAAATAAACGGTAGGAGATCCAGGAGAAAAAAAAAAGGAAAAAAAAAGTAATGTGGAATTCATGCCCTATTCAGCTTAATCAATGGCAGAACAAATAGCAGTACTCCTACATTGTTAAAAGAAAGAAAGAAAGAGAAAGCTAAAATGAAGATATCCCAATCAACTATTACTCTGCTAGCACTGATCTCACTTTATAGTATTCTAAAGTACTACAAACAACCAAACCATACTCCTATTCATTCTTAGCGCAGTCTTACGGTTTGTGTCCTATCACACAACCCAACATCAGTCCATCCTCACTCTGTCCAGAGACTGGGTTATATTTGGAAAAGTGATCTATAATCCCTCCACTTAAAAATGAACTGAGGAAGGGAGTGGGAGGATGTCAAAGGGAGAGCGCAATAGGCTAGAGCACCTGTTCTGCAGGCAAGAACCTGGTTTCGATTCCTGGAACGTCACAGTATCCCTGAAGTGACTCCCAAGCACCAAGACAAGAACAGGCCCTAAATATGGCCAGTGTAGACCAAACCCAAAAATAAAAAGCCAATACAAGGATTCTTGTGATTTTAAAACTAATACCTTGACTGTGGTAGTAGCTATAACAAAACTACACGGGTGATAGTAATTATATAGAATGTAATATCCTTAAACAAAAATGAGAAGAGAGAAAACCTAAAGACACCTGAAAAAGTCTAGGACTGTCTCATCACCAATCCCCTATTGTGGATTGTACTGCACTCAGTGCCCAATGGCAACAGAGCACATTTTATGTGGCGGCTACTACCACAGACATGTTGAGCGAAGAGTTTCACACAACTATTTAATGAATTATCCCCATGTCCCTACTTTTTTTGTTTTTGGGGCCACACCTTGCAGTGCTCAGGAGATTACTCTTGGCTTCATGTTCAGGGGTTATTTTCAGGTGTTTAATCAGGAGGCCATGTGGCACCCAGGATGAATCCAGAGATTCTGCATGCAAATCATGTCCTCCTGCTCTCTGAGCCATCTCGCTGGCCCCAGTTATGTCCTAACAGCAAACTAATATTGACTTTTACTAATAGATCATCATTTTCATGGATAACAAAGCATCTTGGTGCAGTGGGTGGGATAGTACAGCAGGGAGGATGCTTGCCATGCATGTAGCCAGGTTTGATCTCCAGCATCCCATAAGGACCATGAGCCCTGCCAGGAATATTTTCTGAGTGCAAAGCCAGGAGAATCTCATGAACATCTCCGGGTGTGGCCCCAAAATAAAACAAACCAACAAAAAAGAAACTTGGTGCACAAATTTTTTTTTTTCAGTTTTGTGTTCATTCCCTTTCGTTTCACTGACCTAAAAATGAAGAGAAAACAGACACTTACCAAACCAAGAATCTACGTTTTCTGTATCTTCATCATCCAAAGATGTAAAATTAATGAAGTGCGAGGGAGCATCATAGGAATAAGAGGGTTTTAGTTGCGACATTTTCTCCCACTGTCCCACAGAACAAGTTTTTGCCAGTTCTCTTTGTCACTCTGTCAATCAAGTCGCCTTCTAAAGAAAGAAATTATCCAGAAAATTATTTTATAATACTCCGATACACTAACACCCTACCAATTACTTTGCTTTTACAACGACATTTGCAGTTCTAGAATGCACCTCAATAACAGAATTTACTTTTCAAGTCAAAGTAAAGTTGACTTTGCTTTTTTGGTAACTTGAAGACACTCTGAGTTAGAATCCAAAGATACAAAGTTTAATTGAGTATCTTCACGATGTCATTGATTGTACTGGTAGGTGTTTTTATATTATTTTTTATTCTCCCTTAATCTGTCATTTTCTCATTTCTAGTCTCAGTCCCATCTAATTTGCTTGTTCTGCCCTCAATAATCCAATTTCTAAAACATACCATTAACTTTTGTTACCCTACCAACCCAAATCTTACTCATCAAAGTCCAATTCAATTACATAGTATTTTATTTCAATTTTCCTCTCTCTATATAATTATTGCTTTCCAAAGTCATCATGCTTTGTGGACCACCAATTTTCTATTATTTAAATATGAAAATCACTCTTTGTAGACTATAAGTTCCTAAAGGGAAGTATGGATTTTCAACTTTATTTACATACCGCATCCATCAGGTGTTTAGAAATTTGTATACGAACTCAGTATAACTTTGCCAGTTGCAAATTTTCATTCTTCAGAAATGTTCTTATTTGAAGAGCCAAGGAAATATCTCAAAGGGGTAGAGCACACACCTTGCATGTTTGGGACCCCAAATTTGATCCCTACTACCACCTGGCCCCTAATATTACTGGGTGGTACACAATGCCAGGCCAAATATCACCAAGACCCATTGTCAGGTCTATGAGGCCTCCTGTTGGAAAGCTTGCCACCAAAAATTCAATTAAAACACTTATATTGAGGGGGCTGGAGCAATAGCACAGTGGGTAGGGCGTTTGCCTTGCATGGAGCCAACCTAGGTTCGATTCCCAGCATCCCATATGGTCCCCTGAGCACCACCAGGAGTAATTCTTGAGTGCATGAACCAGGAGTAACCCCTGTGCATCGCCAAGTGTGAACCAAAAAGCAAAAAAAAAAAAAACCCACTTAAATTGAGGGGCCAGAATGATAGCATAGTTAGGAGGGTGCTTGCCTTGCATGCAATTGACATGGGTTTAATCCCCAGCATCTCTGGACCCCTGAGCCTTGTGAGAGTGATACCTGAGTGCAGAGCCACGAGTAAGTTCTGAGCACCACCAGGTATGACCCCCCAAAAAAGAAAAATATTCCCTTAAATTCAGGAGCTGGAGAAATAATAGAGTGGTAAGGTTGATCTTTTAATGGTGGTACATGACACCAGTGTTGAAGGTACAATAAATATTTCTGTTTAGTATTGCTTTATTGCATGGCAGAGCCTGGCAAGCTACCCATGATGTATTCGATATGCCAAAAACAGTAACAACAACGGGTCTCATTCCCCTGACCCTGAAAGAGCTCCCAATCCCACAGCGTTGGGAAAGATGAGTAAGGAGAGGCTGCTAAAATCCCAGGGCTGGGACGAATGGAGTCATTACTGGCGCCCGCTCAAGTAAATTGATGAACAACAGAATGAGAGTGATACGGTGAAGGTGTTTGCATACCTAAGGCCCCATGTTTGATACCTGGCATCCCATGTGGTCCCCCGAGCCTATCAGGAGTGAGTCCTAAGTGCAGAGTCAGGAGTAAGTCCTGAGCACCACCAGATTGTGGCCCAAAAAACAAAGAATCAACTTGACCAAAAAAAAAACCCCTTAAATTTCAAACACCATCCCAAGCAAAAGAATATACCCTAGCAAAGTCCATAAAATGGGGTGAGGGATGTGACTCAAGAGCTTTACAGAACATGATTCACAGGTGATTCACAGGTATGATTCACAGGTATACTTCAGCACTGCCATTACTGAGGAAGTCTCCTGGATAGAAACTCTCTATGTTTGGAGGAATCACGGACAGTTTTGGCCAATAAGAATAAGTAGGAGAAAAGAAAAACAAAAAAGAATGAATAGGAACCCGCTAAGAAATTCAGAGGAAAACCTCTTACTTTCTTGGTCGTTTTTGCCTTGCTCCAGCCCCTTTCCCTTCTCTATTTGTCTTTTATTGAAGGTAGATTTAATAGCAGAGCTATGACAATAATTGTGTATAAATGAGTGGATCATCAAGAAAATAACAGAAATTATACCTGACATCATCAAACATTAATGATGAAAATTTTAAACATTTAAAAATAAATAAAAATAAGTTTACTTCAAAAAAATAAAATTAAATTAAAAAATTTTTTAAATGATTAAAAAATTAACAACCTATCTGCAAATGTTTCACATGCTAATATTTTCTCTTTAAGTCATTAGTCACATTTTTCTGTCACTTATTGCCAAAAGTAAACCCAGCTAAAAAGTCCAAAATTCTTGACCTATCTCTGGCACTCATTAGATGTATATGACAACACACAAGTCTACCAACCTCTCTGCTTCTCATAAACCAAAAAGAAGGGGTATTTCAAGTGGTATGAACACTGCTTCTGCATCTATTGATACCTTTCTTTTTCTCACCGTACTTCTACTCAAGAAGCTTTAATGAAAGATTTCCCAGCAAGTAATGATTTAAATTTCCTTGTTGGAGGTCTAGAAAAATGGATCAATTTTCCAAAGCATGGAGTCTCAAGTTTGCTCCCTGGTGCCCCTCACACATGCCAGAGGCTCTGCTGAATGGGACCCCCAGTGCCACAAGAGAGTATGTTCCTGGTATAACGTAAGCATATATAAGTACTACAAGCTAAGTACTGAACCCCAACAAGTACTGTAACTGAAAAATGTACAAGCACTGCAGTCAGGAGTGTGTGTACGTCCCTACTAAAAGATCATGTGTGTGTGCATCACAAATCAGGGCGAGCACTTCAACCAGAATGTACACAGGCACCAAAACTTAATGAGTATGACCCCTGGAGAGCAATGTGTCCACAAGCCACAAAGTAAATGTGCAGTCCCCAGCAAGCACCACAACTAAAGCATGTGACCCCCAAGGAGTCTCCAAGGCCAAGTGTGTGAGCACCACAACCTCATGTGTGTACAGCCCCGAGTCATCAACAAAGAGGAGGCTAAATAAGTAAATAAATAAATAAAATCCCCCTGCTCTGGAACAAACATGCTAGAAGACAGGGGAAAATCTTGGATTTCCATGATCTCCATTCCTAACCCAGGTCACTGGGAACACTTCCCAGGCAGGAATGTATGAAGACAACTAAAACTGGGGGAGAGCAAAGGCAGGAATGTAATATGAGCAATCTACTTCGCCTCCTAAAAACCATAATTGCACCAAACCATGCTGCTTGGCCCTACCGAGGTCACGAGTTGCCCCCCCACGAGCGGCTCTCCGGCACGGCCCTGGCTCCAGAGTCAATGAAACCAATCTCGTAATTATCTGGCTCTTGGCAGAAATCCCTCCAGACTTAATACGTAAAATATTAGAAATCCAAAATCGCAGGCCACTATTGCGACTGCACAACATCATGTGATTCTCATAACCAGCTATAGAAAACAAATTATTTCACAATGCCTTTTCAGCAGTTCTGATTGTTGGGTGGAAACTCTAAACAATAATGGTGCATCTTTTGTCGAAATAATTAATGTAATCAAAGTAGGTAAAGTAGGAATCATCTGCCTCACAGGCATTGGGAGGGGTGGGAGGGGGGTATATTGGGGTTCTTGGTGGTGAAAAATAAGTACTGGTGAAGGGAAATGTGTTTGATCATTGTATGACCGAGACTTAAACCTGAAAGCTTTGTAACTTTTCCCACAATGATTCAATAAATTAATAAAAATAAATAAATAATGCAAAAAATGCTGCTTGAAAACCACTGGAAAGTATCCAAATTTAATACCTCACACCCTTCCCCCAATTCCCAATTATGGAACTATACTTCTAGATCATCCAAATGGCAATTTGCATTTTTCCTTTTTTTCCCCTTTTTTGGGTCACACCCAGCGTTTCACAGGGGTTACTCCTGGCTCTTACACTCAGGAATTACTCCTGGCGGTGCTCGGTGAACCATATGGGATGCTGGGAATCAAACCCAGGTCGGCCAGGTGCCAGGCAAAAGCCCCACCCGCTGTGCTATCGCTCCAGCCCCCGCATTTTTCCTTTTGATAGATACCGTCAAACACAGAACTTTACCTTAGTTATGTATTTATGCATCACTGTATCACTGTCATCTCACTTCGTCAATTTACTCAAGTGGGCGCCAGTAACGTCGCTATTCCTCCCAGCCCCGAGATTTTAGCAACCTCTTCTTAATCATCTTTTCCCAATGATTGGGGGCTCTTTCAGGGTCAGGGAAATGACACCTGCTGTTGTTACTGGTTTTGGCATATTGAATACACCACGGGGAGCTTGCCAGGCTTTGCCCGCGCTGGCAGGATATTCTCAGTACCTTGCCAGGCTCTCTGAGAGGCATAGGATTTATGCATATGTAAGTAAAAGAAAGTTCACTGGAGCTCATTTCATTTGTGTTCAAAAGAAACAGAGAGTGGGGCCAGAGAGCTAGTACAACACACAGCCAGCGCATATTCGATTCCCCACACCCCCAGATGATCCCCTGTACCTGCCAGGAATGATCCCTAGGCCCAGAGCCAGGAGTGAACCCTGAGCAACACTGGGAATGGCCCAAAAACAAAACAGAGAAGAAACAGAGATAGTACCAGGAGATAAAACACCCTTGCATGAGGCCAGGCCTGGTTTGATCCCCAGTTTGATCCCTAGCATATAATTAATTCTCTGAACACCGCCTGGGGTCACTACAGCCAAGAGCCAGGAATAGCTCCTCATTTCTGCAGGGTGTGGCCCAAACCACACTCCAGAGAGAGAGAAGTCGCTGCGGAGATAGCTCAAGTGGCTGGAGTAGGAGACTTGCATGTCCAGGAATCCAAGTCTAGTACTGCCACGCCCT